TTAATAAAACCAACAGGATTTATTTATGAGTTTCTTCTGATACAAGCCAAATACAAGATGTGAGAGAAAAATGAAGTATCCTCGTGCTGTCATTACTGGCAGATGTAGAAACATTCCCGAGAGGTTAATTGTATGCCAACCATTTTTCTGAGTAGCAAAGTGGCTCCGGACAGAGTAGGACTCTATAAAGTGCTAAATTCAGGTCCTGGCAGGGTCGCTGACATATGTGCACAGGGATGGTGAGTGAACTGAAGACAGGCATGCTCATTCTCTCCCCTGGTGAACTCTACACAACCAAAGGTCAGTCGAGTAGGTGGCGTAGCAATAGGCTCAGTTGCTTTGGCATCTTGAAGCAAAGAGATGTAGCCTTCTAGTCACAATGGCAGAATACCTTTTACCTACTTACCTGTCCTTACACTGAGCTACCAGGTTCTTGGACATCTTATTGTTGCTACTTGTGAAGGAGAAAAGAAAAAAGATGTAGGGAAGAGAGAAGGGCCCAGTCACCTAGATTTCATCAGCCTCTTTTCCCTTTCCTGAAAATTGGAGGTTTACTTTTTTGTGTCCTGAGAGACATAACTTCTAAGGATGATTGCCAGATGTTTTGAAAATGTTTGAAAGCGTTCAAAAAACGCATGTTGTTCATCACCACATTGAATACTGTTGACTCTAAGAATTTTTGCCCCAAATCAATCTGAACATGTTTTAGCTCAGTTCTCTCTGACAACAGCTAGGACCTATGGAAGGAAAGCATGCATTTGTGAGCCTATTGACCCTGCATGTGAAGCCATTACTGGAACTAGGAGTTGATGACCAGGCCGACTCTGTCAATCTTTCCTGGCTGGAACTTGCAAACTCTTGGTTGTGTTTACCCAGAATGTTAATAATTTCGGAAATTATTAAAATGGAACCAAGATACTTTCTTTTTAAGAGGCTATTGAGATCACAAATCATTCTGCAAATATAATAAGTTGTGTAAGCTGAGGGAGTCCAATGCTTGACACTTGCCATGAGCCAGCTGGAAGCATGGCCGTTTTCATATGGCACTTCATGTGTGGAACTAAGGAGGCGTGAGAAAAGCCCTTTAAAAGCAGGCCTTAAAATTTCAATAATTCTGTTGGACAAAATGTTTTTACTCCCCCCACAAAAAAATCTTTCTTCCACCCCCTTCTCTGCTCTCATTTGTTTTACTCCCAACGTCCTCCACATTACCTAACTCTTGTGCTTTCGTCAAGCGTTATCACCCTGAGGAATCCTATTTGGATTTTAAGGGACCCATTTAGTTGTTACTTCCTAGGCTCTTCGTGTTCCCTCTCCAGGTAGAACTGATGCTTTTCCCTGGTAGCCTGACTGTCCTTTGGGGCCACGAATGCTCATCAAAAATACCTGAGACAACTCTCAGAAGTTCGTATCTCAAACTCCACCCCAACCCTACTGATTCAGAATGCTTTTGGGTGGAGCCCAGGAATCTGCATCCCAAAGCCAGCAGGTGATTCAGATGTTGTTGGTCTCAGGAGCCAACCATGATAGCGTGGAAAGCTAGGCCATTGTTCTGATTCACCATTGTCACACTTAGTCATTTGCATACCTTTCAATAGCTTCTTAATTATAAGCTTGTTGAAGGCCATGAAAGGCATGGTATTCATATTTCATTCAACATATATTTACTGAGTGCCTACTAATGTTCCAGGCACTGGCCTGAGAGCAAGGGATACAGCAATGAGAAAACAGGCCTTCTTTTTTGGACCTTACATTTCAGGGAGGGAAGCCAGACAATTTTTAACAATGAGGTCATTAAATACTATCTTATTAGATGATAAGTACCATGGAGAAACAGAAAGCAGGGAAGAAGGAGAACCAAGATCGTGTTCAAGGCACACACGAAACCTTCACTAAGGAGGTGATAATTGAGCAAAGATTTGAGGGCTGTAAGGGAGAAAGCCAAGTAGACATCTCAAGGAGAGACACACATGTAAGGCTCTAGAGCAGAAGAATGCCAAGCACATTCTGGGAACAAAAAGGGGTTAGTGTGGCTGGAGTAGAGTGAGCAAGTGGGAGAAAGTAAGTAGGTGACCGGGAATAGATCTTGTGAAGACTCATCCAGTCCAGTCAGAACTTTCCCTTTGTCTCTGTGATACTGGAATTCACAAAGTCCATCACAGGGCTTACTCCACAATAAATACTGCAGGAATATTTGCTGAAGGAAAGAATCATCTCTGAGGTGACATGCAAAGGCCTCTCATGGCTTAGATCTAAACTAATAACAAGGATACAGAGAAATAACTTTACCACATATATTTTTCACATACATGTTTCAATAAAGGGGCAGCTATATTCACCCAGAGCTCAGAGTTCGGAACCGGGATGCCTGGATTCACACATTTCACATACTGGCTGTGTGATCTTGGCAGCCTCTCAATGCCTTAGTATCCCCATCCCATAAAATGCAGAAAATAATAGTATCTACTTTATAGAATTCTGATGATTAAATACATTTAATACATGAAGGGAAACTGTAAGAATGTCTGTGCTTTGAGAACCAATGAATATGTGCCATGATCATTAATATGGATAAATTCAAGACATTTCTAACAATTCAAAAAATTAGTCATTCCTATGAATTCATTACTGATAAATATGAGCAGAGACCACCCCAATACAGAATTTTTCTCAATTAAAAATTGTGTATTTATTCTTACATGTTTAAACTTCAGTCACCTTCAAAGTACCCTTTGTTTGATGCAATACACCTGTCAAGATGCTTTTTTCATTACTCAAAACGGTTTTTGAACTCACCAATTTTAATGTTTTTGTTTGTTTTTTTCACCTCTTCCACATTGGCAAAAAAACAATGTATCCCTTCAAGGACTTTTTTTATCTGGGGGGGGGGGTGTCAAGTCATTTATGGTCAAAAATTGCTGAACACTCAATGTGGTGTGGGCGGATGTGCTCATAAATTATCCATCATGAAATGGGCAAACACATTCAGAGAATCTCAAAGAAAAAAAATTCACTGAAGCTGAACACAGACTTTCACAACAAAATATTAGCTGGTACACTGATGATGATGGGTCTGCTAAAATACTTACATAGCAGAGGAAGCCCGTACTACAAGCCACCCTCCCCCTCACAGAACAATAATTTTGTTTTTTGGGGGAGCCCCCCCCCATATAACATTATAACTAATGTTGGACGTTAGGTACAATGTCAACTACATAAATATATGATGATCTATATATGATTGCTACATGTCCATTTTAAGGTGTGCATATTACAGGAAGAGGCATTCATGCAGTTCCACAAGTGGTAAAATACAGACAGAGAATGGATGACATGAAGAACATGATGTTGATAACAAGGACCATGTTGGGAGTTATAAAACGAGATGGGTGTCCTCTCTATTGCTGGGTATTAGGTTTCTTGAGGTTGCTCATGAAAACATAAAAATTGAGAATGTGCATCAAGCTCTGAAGTCTATCTGTCACTTTAGTTAGACTTTGGTTTATCACCCACAAGAAACATTTTAGATAGGATAATTCCGCTCCAATTCCCATGCCTGTTAACCTTGTGTCATTGTCTCCTAATTCACAGACTGAAGAAATAACCCATTCATGTAAGCAACCTTTGTGCAAGCATCAGTTTCAATGCAGCCCAGGAAATTTCTTAAAACTAGGAATTGGTTTCCACTGTGAGAATCTAACTGTGACTCATTTGAATGATTTGAATATCTGTGTGCAGATGCTAAACGTTAAATACTATTTATCATTCACATGTAATAATTGAGATGCAACTATTAATTTTCCAAGTCTTTGTCCATTTCTAACTTCAACACTCATTTTTAAGAAACTCGTGAACCACACCCACCTTCCTTTTACTTTTTATTTATTAATTTTTTGAATCATATCTCTGTCTAGTGGCTAATTTTGATGGTTCTAGAGGTAGATGCCTGGCTCCAAATTCTGGGCCATTGTTAAGTGGTTGGGCAAATGACTCAACCTCTGTGGGTCTCAGTTTCTTTCACTGTAAAGTAGACATATTAATACTACCTCCAACTTGAGGCCGTTTTGAGGATCAAATGAGGTCTACATGTAAAGCACTTAGGACAGTGCTGGTCACATACTAAAACACAGTAAATGTTGAGCATTAACAAAATAGTTAATAGTGAAGGAGTTGGGTACTCCTGCAAACTGGCTTGAACTATCTCTTGACAATATTTGCTTTGTAATTCTGTCATTGGTCAACGTGCATGTTTTCTAACTGTAGCATAAATTGCACACCGACCATTTTGTACACCTCCTTGCCTTCAGGCCGTTATCTGGGGTGCCCTCATTGCTGTCTGCAAGTGTACTATTTATTTAATCACTTCTCACCCCAGCTGCCCCTGGGCATCCAACAGGCAAAGACATCCCGCCTGACTGTCCCAGCCCTGAAAAAACTGCACAGCCAGAGGCGGTGGTTCAGCCTGTAACCCAAGCGCTTTGGGAGGCCAAGGGAGTAGGATTGCTTGAAGCTAGGAATTTGAAATCAGCCCGGGCAAAGTAAGAAGATTCCATCTCTACAAATTAAAAAAAAAAAATGCAATACTATGAGAAAATGACGGATGGTACTGGGAAACTATGGGGGGGAGGGGGATGGGATTAACAGTAGCAAATATCTGTCGGGGGATGGGAAACACTTCTTATCTACAGGGTGCCTGAATGAAACGTCAAGGTACACCTAACCCTTAACTGTACCCCACAAAACCATAATAAAAATTACTGATTAATGAAAAAAAAAAAAATTATCCTGGCTTGGGGACACGCACCTGTAGTCCCAGCTACTCAAGAAGCTGAGGCAGGAGGGTCACTTGAGCCCAAGAGTTCGAGGTGACAGTGAGACAGGATGGCACCGCTGCGCTCCAGCCTGGGCATCAGAAGGAGATCCTGGCTTTAAAAAAAAAAAAAAAATCCACCAGTGGTCAATCACCCTTCCCAACCAACCCCTCTCTCTTCTCGTTGCAGGATGTTCTGGAAGCTCTCCCTGTCGTTATTCCTGGTGGCCGTGTGGGTGAAGGTGGCGGAAGCCCGGAAGAACCGGCCCGCGGGCGCCATCCCCTCGCCTTACAAGGACAGCAGCAGCAACACCTCGGAGAGATGGCATCACCAGATCAAGGAGGTGCTGGCCTCCAGCCAGGAAGCCCTGGTGGTCACCGAGCGCAAGTACCTCAAGAGTGACTGGTGCAAGACGCAGCCCCTGCGGCAGACCGTGAGCGAGGAGGGCTGCCGCAGCCGCACCATCCTCAACCGCTTCTGCTACGGCCAGTGCAACTCCTTCTACATCCCGCGGCACGTGAAGAGGGAGGAGGAATCCTTCCAGTCCTGCGCCTTCTGCAAGCCCCAGCGCGTCACCTCCGTCCTCGTGGAGCTCGAATGCCCCGACCTGGACCCGCCCTTCCGACACAAAAAGATCCAGAAGGTGAAGCACTGCCGGTGCACGTCCGTGAACCTGAGCGACTTGGACAAGCACTGAGCGCCCGGGCGCAACGCGGCTCAGCACAGCGCCCCGGCCGCTGGGTCGCGTCACCGCCGCCTCCGCCCCTGTCCCCTGTCCCCGAGCCCACTCACGCGCCACCTGGCGTCCCCCCGCCCGTTTCAGCAGCCAGCACGTCTCTCGGGCCACCCACGTGGATCGCCGATGGAGCTTTGCTGATGTGTCCCTGACCGACCCCGGGCCCCACCTGGGCCTCCCAAACCAGGCTGTGGATCAGGCTGGAAGGAAGATGCTGGAAGACGACCACCCGCCACCCAGCAGTTGGAGAGGCTCTTCCAAGGGGATGCACCGTATATCCTGCATTGATGTTTCCACCGTGTGGAAAAGCGAGTATTTCCCGGGTCTCCTCCTACACTCCAGCTCGCCCTGCGTGCAGTGGAGGTGGCCATGTGTCACCCTTCCGAGCAGCCCCTCAGTCCTCCCCTGCTGGTCCCTGGACCGCTCACTCGTGATGCGATAGCTGCCCTCGGCTGACGCTGTGATGCGGATGTGGACAGCTGCCACCAATACGTCCACAGACGGGGGTGTCGCCCAACCTGATGCCAAGACGACTTGAGCCACTCGGAGGCCGAAGTGGGCTTCCCTGGGGACGGGTCACAGCAGGCCACACCCTGCCCCACCCCCAGCCACCAGCACCTCTTCTTCCTCACTCTCCCCACTCCCCTACCCCCATTTGTGGAATAAAGATGAACTCCTGTGTGCATGCTATTATCGCTGCAATTAGAATATTATCACACACAAAGGTCTCTTTATATTAATGCTGGTTTTATCATTGACCTATATTGTAAAGAGCTGTTAAAAAGTCTTCTAGACCTGTCCATGTATTGTTTTCACATGTTTTGACGCTGACTTTTGGCACCATTCTGAGTAAGGATGAGAGCAGGTGGTGATCTACCCAGAAGAGGTTTTACTCAGAAATAATGCCTTGTCAGCAATTCACTGTCCTGCACCTATTTTAGATGGAGCAGGGAGAGAGAAGGAATCATGATTTTACTTTGAATATTATTTCACTGAAAGTACTAAAGCATTGCAGCACGATGTAGAAATTGGATTGGGATGGATGGGTGTCGAGAGGAGGATTCATTGGGAAGTTATTAACCTGAAACCCAAAAGCCCCTAAAATGTTGAATATGCATATATGCATGAGACAGTATACTATTTTCACTGCCATGACACCAAGCAAAAAATGTTTCCTGTTAAAAGAAATCGATATTTAAAAAATATAAGCAGTCGGATTGCTCTGCGCTGTAGGAAGAAGCAAGGAATAAAATATACAGAATGGTAATGTAGTTGAACTGTCCCGCAGAAAACAACTCTTTTCCTTTTCATAGACTTTAAAATGGATGAGCAAATATTAATTAGGTCCCTTTTCATTGTTATAATGAGTTTCTGAAGTTTCCAAGTCGTGGTCTCTTGATCTAGGGAAGTAGGCATAATTTATTATCCTGCAAATTAGTATTCTTTGCTGAATTGCCCCAGGAAGTCTTCTCTGTGAGTAGTGTTTATGGAATCTGACAAATGTGAATGAGATGCCATTGGTGGGAATCAGCACACTTTGAAAACCTTTCACTGGTGATTCTCCAGCAAGTGCTCCTGCCAAGGGGCAGGTTCCCTAGTATGTGAGAGAGACCCTCTTCAAGCTGCTCTGGGGACTGAAGCTTCCTGAGGGTAGGCAGTGACAGCGGATCTAGAGACCATCAGAGAGCGAGATGGAGTGGGGTGTGTTGGTGGACCTATTTCAAGCCCCTGCACTGCCCAGTTCATTTCTGTCACTTCTGTAACATCATGAGACCTGAGCAGAACGTACTGTTGTAAAGGGAGTCTTGACTTCATACATGGGTATATATAACCCCAAATTAGGAGGCAGGAATAGAAGGACATCCTTGAGGCCTGGAACCTGGGAAAGGGGAGAAAAAGTAGAGAGGATGTCCAAGGACAAGGATTTGCATTTAGTAGAAAACCTCAAGTCAAGCTCGGTGGCAGAACACATAGCAGAAAAGCTGTGAAGGAAGGAACTTCACGTGAGGTTGACGGAGGCTAATGGGTGGAGTGGGAAGTGAGTGGAGAGGTCTCCGACTCAACTGCAAAGCCAGCCCCTATCCTTTATTAACCCGGGACCCACACAGATAGGGGAAGGATTCCACTGAGAACTTACAGAATTCAAACATGAGCACACTTTCTTCAAACCCGATCTCGGGTGTTGCGGTGAAAGCAATAATGATATGCTGCCCTCCTGCTGGGGGTTATTGTATGTACAAAGTTTACCTTATAATGGCTCAAATTGTATTTAATTGTTTTTTGTTTTGTTTATAAATGAAAAAAGCTATAAGTATAATGTAATTATTTTATAGGTATACTATTAAATTATAGAACAAATAAAGATACTCTAGGATTCTATGTGATCCCAGTGTTATATGCCATGAAAGTGGAATTCTGAGCTTGTTGCAGTGAGCAGTGTGGAGCACTGTGTACTCATAGCACTTTGGTCCAACCTCGGTGAGTTCAACCCTAGCTTATGTCACGTAGTCTCCATTTGGGGCCTAGAATTTTCAAAGAGAAACAGAACCAAGGAGCAGAGGTGGTGGGGGTGGCTTTCGATCCTCGTCTTTGGAAGCTTCCAAGCCTCTCCTAGACCCCCAACTCAATGGAGACAGAATGCTCTCACTGTGCTCTTCTGAATAAGAAACACTGAGTGAGAAAGCCTTGAGCAACTGCTGCGGACGGATGTCTGTTAGTCTTTGCTCCCAGTAACTACACTTATCCTGAGTTTTGTTCATTTTCACATTTACTTCTCACAGGTCTCAGCATTTCTTAAATACGTCGTAGTTTCACTGTTTTTCCGTTTTTCCACTAATTGACTTATCTGCCGTTCAAGAAACTCAATTATCAATTAAAAAATAAAAATCTTTTAAAATTGCACATGATTGATTTACTGTGTGGACTTCAAAGGAATTAAATTCAACTTACTAATAAATAATGCATCTCAGTTTATCAAACGGGACAGAATATTCCACTCGGGGCTAAGACGTTCCAATTCACTTGATTCTGAAGTTGGCTGACTGACTTTCAATTGTTATCAAGTCATTGGAAATGAATTTTGCTATTGCATGAATTCATTAGAATGTCTATATTCCTAGAAAGCTTACTTAACTATTGCTCTATCAGCACTGATTACTAATGTCCGCATGGGTGATAACAATAAGACAAATTATAAAATAAATAGTGCAATTAAAACTTGTTGATCATCTCGTTATCTTCAGAATTCTCCTTAATCCCCGACTTTGCCACTTTTCTTCACTTGATTTTTCTGCCGCTACTTCTCAAGCACAGCAGATGGCCCATCCACTTTTCCAGAAGTGAAATATGGGAAACCATGCTATTTTTATTGCTGTTGTTTCAATCCATTGGTGTTACTGGCTTCTCTAGTATTCAGTCTAGAACATGAGACAAAATAAACAGACAAAACCAGGGAACTCACTGCCATTTTATTTCTTGAGTTTTGGGTTTCCTGCCTGATCTGCCTTCTTTTCTTTACCTTTTAGAGCCTTTTATGTTTTATACACACACACACACACACACACACACACACACACGTCTAGAAATTTTTATGGAAGGAATAGGGGAAAATATGTCTACTTCATTTTGCCTGAAATCAAAAGTCTCCTGAATTTTTTTTTAAGGTTTGTCACTCACTTTTGAAGAGGTATGGAGTTTGCACTTACCAGTATCTCCAACATGCTTACCCATATCTCTCATCTGGTCCTGTCACATGATGTCAATCATGGTGAATCTGTGTAATGTTTTACAGGGTGTCCATCAAATCCAGGTTCCTTCAATCTATATTTTGATAAAGGATATAAGAACTTACACAACCTGGGGGCAAGACCATAAGTGTTGCTCATCCAGTGGAAATGCAGACTGCATCTGGTTTTCTTTTCTTTAAATGTGGCAAACAGACACATTTTCAGATCAAGTTCTGTTGGTTGTCTTAACCTGCTCTAGCAAAGAAACTACACTGAGTGCAGTAATTGCAACTGAGGCTACTGCCATCTTCCACCATGCACTGTTTGATTTTTTTCAGGAGTTAGCATGGTGAAGTAAATGGAAATATAACAGGCTTCTACACTATTCAAGTCTTTGAGAGTTTCACTAATCTTCTCCATTCCTTCTAGAATTCAGCATTGTTATTAGTTTACTGGTTTTGCTGGAATGGGGAGCAATTTCAGAGACTTCCACTTGCCCCTCCCCACTGTAATAGCTCTTATCTAAGAACTCAAAGAATGAATGTGAGTGTTCTTTCAACTACCAAGATTGTCCCTTCCAATTATGTATTTGGAACTGGGGAAATGAATCACCATGTTGGTCCACGGGCCAGAGGACCCACTGAGAACCAAATCTGAAAAGACTTTAGCAGCATCTATATGTACCCATGTTAGTAGGAAACCATGGCGGTTCAGAGGGTCTCCAGGTATTAGCGTCAATTCAGATCCAGTGTTCAGTCCTTCTCAAAGGTGTTTACTATTCTTTTTATCTCCAAAGCGCATTTACCTGAATAAGTGGTCCTCTGAGTTCCCTGGTTAAGGAGTGGGGAGATAACAAATGAGTAAATTTGCCCTGATATGGCAGCGACATAAGGAGTCAGCCACTTCTTCAGCTAATGGATTCCAGATCTGATCTGGAAACTGGGCAAAGGATTGTGATTTTTATTAGGACACTGCCCTCTGTCTCTGATCATTCATTATTGATTCCTTTGACTGTGTAAATTAAGCAATACCCTTGTTGGTCCCTCATATTCTAACTTCAGGAAAATCATATTCTATTAACCATCTCCAAGTTGGGAGTCTGTAGATGCAATGACAATTCTATCACTCTTTGCAACAATTGTGCCCCAATTACTTTCTAAAGCTAACCTGACATATTATTTTCAGATCTTACTATTCTCATCCACCAGGGAGTCTAGTTTTATAAGCATCTCTTCCTACAGTTACCCTGACCTACAGATGACGGCACTACTTAGCTTCCTAGTATTCCTGTAGTACAGACATCATAGCTTTGGTAAATAGAGACCTTCCTGGGATCATAGTTGGGTAGTGGTTTATTTATTTATCTATTTAT